CACCTGTGCACTGGGGCTTTGGGATAAGTTTTGTTGCATGCCTTGAAGGTCAATCAGACTGGCCTATGATGGCATAATGCAGGGAGCAAGTTCCAAAGTCAAGGAGCCCCCCTCTTAAGATAACTCTGCCACCAGCTTCCTGTTTCTTGAACTGATGGAATTCCAGCTCAAGTTCTTTCTGACCTCAGCAGTAGTAGTATAAGGCTAGATGCTTTAAGAGCCCAGCATTCTCGGGTTGGTGCTCTATAAAACATAGCTTTCACATCTACTAACTTTGGAAGATCTAGCAAGAGGTAGAGCTGGGGTGATATAGCAAGATATGTGGCAGTTGTTGCCTATGGGTTACTGTGGTATTTGTATGAATTTATGATTACTGCACAATTTACATGTGCTTGTGAGAGTGATGACCTAGGGTAATTTGTGACAAAGGGAGTCTTTTTAAAATTGTGTATATGTTTATGCTGCATCTATATCTATTACAGAAAATCAATGGAAGATCTAGAACTATATTTTCCAAATTTTCTTTTGTTCTCTAACGAGTTTCTATGGCTCTTCATTTGAGCAATGAATATTTCTCTTTTTTTTAGATTTTTTTTATAGAAAACTTTATTTTCCTTATCATTTCCCTTTTATAAATTAATGCATTCCTGTCAGAATAATATATTCTTGTTAACTCTACTGGTTAATTATCACTTACTTGATTCTGTGCCTCTGAACTAAACAGTGACCTATATTTCTAGTATCAAAAGGTGTTACCTAAGAATTATTGTGAAATAGATGTTTTTGGGCTTTCCTCTTTTATAGTGTGGATAAAAATGCAATTAATTGGGATGGGAGAGAGGCTTAAATACCTATTGATTAAATTTAGTTTTGCATTTCTTGCATTATGAAAAACAATGAGGAAATAATAACCAATGTCTTATTTGGGACTTGAGTTAACATTTGCACCAGCCAGATTTTCAATTATCACTCCCTTAGAAACCGTTCTCCAGCTTTTGTCAATGTGGTGTAGAAGAAGAAGAGCAAATAGATTGGAAATGCTCTGTATCTCAAGCTCCTGGGAAAATGTAACAGGTGTTACAGCTCAGCTGGGTATGAGCTTTATGAAAAAAGCCCACTCAGACTTTACCCATAGAATTCCCCTTTCTAACCAGAGCTTCAAGTAGGAAGAAACTAATGACTTCATTACCATCTCAATTCTGGGAAATGCTTGGTCCAGACCTGAATCATTAAAGGAAAGGTATAGCACTCTGTGTGACCTTACAAGATCAAAATGTTATTTAGAGCAATTCCATTAGTCAAGGCTATAAACCTGAAAGAACACACCCTTTTTGCGCCAGTTCTTAGGTCGTAAAAAGGGGAGGGGGGAGAGAAGAAAAAACATATTCTGAACTCATTGTGCTGCACGATTTCCTTTGCTTTCTTTGAAAACCCTTCACTTCTAGCACTTCTTCCCTTCACTCTGTGTTGTGACACATTTAATGGCTCTTGTTGTTTTCACTCTTCCAGGGGACTGTAATTGGAGGGGGGGAGGGATGATACTGGAGCCAAGAATGATGTCAAATTTTCAAGTGGCACAAGATGAAATAAATCTATTCAGGATTGTAGTAATTAGCAGCAACTCTTTTTATTATTAGATAATTACATCTTTTAATAATCACAAATGGGGAAAAAGTTTAACCTATGAGAGACTGGCTCCTGGTTTCTTTATCATTGCATCTATGGCTGCTTTTGTAATTGGAAGCAAAGAAACCAGCATTAGTGAAAACGTACTTTCACCAGCCATCTCCTAAATCAAAACTGGTATGTCTTTCAGTGGCACTAATGGTGAAGTCTCTCTACTGAATCAGTTTATTGTACCTCAGAAATAGAGTATTTAGATGTTTTATGGGCATGTTCAAGAATAAATGTAAAATATATTTTTTAAACTACAGTGAAATCACATCTGTTTATAGTAAAATATAACAACCAGACAGTGAAATTAAATAATGTTTAAGAAAGGGCAGCATTATGCTTCCTACCTGGCATAGTATGTTAAGAAGGAGAAAGAAGTACAATGCAATGGTTCCTTTGGAAGTGTTTTGATCTAAAGGGGCAGTGCACTCACTGTTTTACTACTGCTCCTGCATGGGCAGAGGCTGTATAAACTGTGCGCGCGCACACACACACACACACACACACACACACTTTGCAAGCAATTTTGCCTACCTTGTGGGCATTGGAGCACCTATGTACCTGATTCAGGTCTATGCAATGAATGCATGCACCATTGTTGTGTAGTGTTTTGAAAATTGTGGATCTGTGCCTTTAAAAGGCACAGTGACTCCCACGGGTGCTAGGACAGCATGGTGGGAAGTACAACTTGTCATCCCCCTTAGCAGTACGAGGTAGCTCAGCTATGTTTTGTGTGCCATGGCTCTTCCCCCCCGGGACATCTCTGGGGCTGTTGGGCAGGCAGAGCTACAGCCCTGTAGCCCACTGATGGCTCCCTTCTATATTTTTGTAAAGAAGGGACAGGCTCTTTGTACAATGTGGCTGACAGTGAATGCCATTGTTATGCATAGGTGCAGGAAGTAGATTTTGCATCCTGTACCTGGGATCCCAGCTGCCAGCCTGCACTTGAGGGCTCTGCTGCTGCCTAGGTTCCAGGTTTCTGGGGGCTCCACTACCACCCAGGGTCCCAGCCGCCAGATCCAAGGGCTCAGCTGTAGGCCCCTGGTCCTGAACATTGGTCCTGTGGTCAGGGCTTTGCAACCAACTCCAGCTGGCTCCAGCCTCAGGCAGTGAGGGGAGCATATGGGGAGAGGGGGGGAGTTGTGCATCTCATCTCACCCCACCCTAGAAATTGTTCCAGTGCCATTGCTATTATGACATCACAGCCATGCTGTACTGCGGCTCTAGAACAGAACGAATGGCACTTTTCTGTCATGACATACTAGTGTTCCTTTTACTATAGCTTAATAAAAATGTTGCTGAGTAAAACATACGTTTTATTTATTTGCACAGAGTGGGCCACGTGATAGTAAGAGGCTCTCTTTTGTGTGTCCCCTCCCCAGTCGAAATCCCGTGGAGAATTTCCTGTTTCCTTCCAAATCATATGGACCTCCTCCATTCCTCTTTGCAGTTGCAAAACTTCTGGGGCCAGCCACACTAATAACTCTGCCTTGATGTAGAACATGCAGTTCTTTGGTACATCAAGTCACAGCTGTGCCTGTAGGGGCTGGAGCAAGCTGAAGATTTGTTCAAAATCTTTGTGGGGTTCGTCTCATGCTTCTAACTGGTCTTATAAGCAGGGCTGAATTAGCCATCTGGCCCTAGTTGCACCATGGCTGGGAAGCATCAGTTTTGGTTTCTTTCTCAGGAGCAGCTTGGGCGGGGGGGAAGGGAGTGGAAAAAAACAGAAGTAGCATCATCAGTAGGGCCCCACCTATTGTGACATAGCTGAGTAGGTGGGTCAGGTGTGCTAGCACATCTGGTCCTCTGCTGAGGCTGTGATGGCATGTTCCCAGAGAGCAGTGATCCTTGGAATCAATACACACAGAGATGCATGGAGTGTTCACACCTTTTGGTGCAGTGGTTTCAGGCTGTCTGTGGATCCCAGGGTGGTATCGTAGGCTGGTATCGTAGGCAAACAGCCTGACTTAGCCTCACCCACATTCCACCCACAGGTCCTCTTCTGCCTGCTGTTCCCTTTGTGGCCCAGAGGCTGGGGCAGGCAGGCTTGTGGCTGCCATGTGCACAAGATCCCTGGGCTGGGACTGTGTAAGAACATAGGAATATAAGAATGGCCATACTGGGTCAGACCAAAGGTCCATCTAGCCCAGCAGCCTGTCTGCTGACAGTGGCAAATGCCAGATGCCCCAAAGGGAGGAAACATAGCAGGTAATCCTCACATGAGCACATTCATGTCATCCATTTCTAGATAAATAGAGGCTAGGGACACCATTCCTACCTATCCTGACTAATAGCCACTGTTGAACCTAACCTCCATGAATCAATCTAGCTCTTTGAACCCTGTTAAAGTTCTAGTCTTCACCACATCCGTTGGCAAGGAGTTCTACAGGCTGACTGTGTGCTGAGTAAAGAAAAACTTCCTTTTGTTTCTTTTAAACCTGCTGCCTATTAATTTCATTTGGTGCCCCTAGTTCTTATATTGTTGTAACAAGTAAATAACTTTTCCTCATTCACTTTTTCCACACCTGTCACGATCATACCTCACCTTAGTCTCCTCTTTTCTAAGATGAAAAGTCCTTGTTTTTAATCTCTCAGGATGGGTTTGTTGATTTAGTTTGGGTTGAAAGAACTGCAGAAAGGTTGCTCTTGCTTTGTGCACGCTCTTCTGGAAGTGTTTTGTTTTGGGTGTTTAACATGAATCGGGAGCGATAAAAGAAATTCCCAGTGATAATTACTAGGGATGTTAAATATCGGTTAATTGAATAGTTGAATAATCTCATGAAGTCGTATCGGTCATTCAACTATTCTATAGTCCCCAGCCAGTGCGCTCCAGCCCCACTCCCAAGAAGCCCCCTGCAGCGTGGGTTGCCAGGCGGGAACTGGTCCACGAGGGGAGCCAGTTTAAAAACCAGCTCCCTTTGCGGACAAACTGCCTTTCGCTCTGTGCTGCTGCCTCTGACACAGAGGCAGCAGTGCAGGGTGGCAGCAGCTTCTGTCCAGGGAAGGTCTGAGCTCCCGGACCTGGCAAAAGCTGGGATTGAGCTGGGCTGCATGCCTGCCTAGCTCCTAATACAATTTAAATGCAGAGCCACAGCAGGGGTAGGTTCTGGACCCATTGCAAGTCAGGACTGAGCTATTACATCCCTATTCATGGGCGTACCATGGCTTTATATTGCGGCAATAAGTCTCTGTCTTATTCTCTATCCATTTTAAAAATGATTCCTAACATTCTATTAGGAATTGTGTTGTGCTGCTCATTCTCCTCATGCTGGATCTGTGCCGCCTGCCCAGCGTTGAGATTGGGGGTATGCTGGCTTCGCTATCCGTCCACTCATCTGCCCTGGATGTCTGCCACAGTTGTGCTCCATGTTATGACAAGGAAGGATGGGGCAGAAGGGGCATGGTCTCAGGCAGAGGAGGAGGAGCTGGAAGCAAGCTTCCCGTAAAGACACATTCACTCACCACCCCATGACCGGCTGACATCTCTGCTTTGGTTACATTAGGTCACTTTTTCTTGGGTTTCTTTGCAGATATGATGGTAGTAACTCTCTAATGAAAGCTGAGATTTGGATGCAATCACTTGAGCTAGGAGTTACAGCCCTCTGCAGGGTGATTATGCCTTAACTGGGCTTTCATCAAGGTCCTTGCCCTCCATAAATACAATCAGTGCTTTTTTTGTGACGGTTCTGCCCAGAACGCAGTACCGGCACCGTCAGTCAGAGCTTACCTAGAAAGAACGGAGCATACTGACACCTCTGTATGCAAATGTCTGACAGTCGGCTGGGCCGCATATCTTAAAGGGGCTGCATCTCTCTTTTTCAACATTTTTTGGTCAACAACTTTTCCCCTGGAATACCGGCACTTTTTTTTTAACAAAAAAAAAAACAACCGCTGAATACAATGATGTGTTTATTTTTTTGCATCACTCAGATGTCAATCACATGTTGTTCTGTCATCTTCAACGAACTGTGAGGAGGACACTAGTCTTTGTGAAAAACACGAATTCTTAGACGTCTGTGTGCCAGGCTTTATAAATGAAAAAGTTCAAAAAAGAGTTGAGTGTCTGAAAGTCTGGCAACAGTGATTTTTTTAAAATGAAGTATTTTCACAAGACTGTAACATTGACACCCAAATGTACCCTTTAGAAAATTCAACCATGGGAAGATTAAATGTTACACAGTTGATAAGTTGATATTCTGGAACTTTTTCAAACAATATTCAAGACAAAATGGAACTAAAAAATTGCAGAACATCCATTCGGAGCACACTTACTTATGGAGCCATGCGACATTGTGCATATATAGTAGCTTTCATCCAGACACCTACAGGACTTTTCAAACATGTAATAGTTGCACTTCTCAGTGTCTCTCTATGGTGTGTGCTGGAACAATTTTACAAATATTTGGTGGACAAAGAAAATAAAGCCCAATATTCTGATTTTTTTTCTGAGGTGGCGAACACACTGTGCCTATAACTTGTGTCATAGTGCTGATGAAAATATATTTTTGAAATTATAATTTCATGCTATTACACCATATTAAAGAGGCCAGTTTTCAAGGGTAAAATCCTGTTCCATTGATTTCAAGGAAGAATTGGCTATTGATTTCAATGGAGCTGGAATTTCACCCTCAATGCTTATCAACTGTGTAACATTTAATAAAGCATACAATATACATTGTACAGTCCTAGGTTCTTAGCTACTCTGACCATGGTATCAAGGACATAAATAGAAGAGAAAACAGAATGGAAATAGTAGTGGTTGTAGTGAATAGGATTTGGCTGATTGATTTCATTATATTAAAAATAATATTCATGCTGTAACGGTTTGTTGTTTTCAGTGATGTACTGGAGCGGGCACTTGGGGAAACCCTTGTCAAAACTTTACTTCCAAATTAAATAACACATTGAAATGATTTTCCTGCCTCCAACTATGATCATCTCCTCTCTTTAAACTGGTTAATCATCTCTGCCAGAGATGACTCACCAGAGGCTCATAAAATATATTTCTAAAGAGCAAACTTTTCTTCATATAGAATGCAACAGATTGTTTGAAAATTAACTGCCAGTTGGTGCAATTTCCCTAGGGAGAAAAGCCATAAATATACCTAAGAATTTTGCCTCTCGCCTCTCCAAGCACTTGGAATGGCGCAGGTTGAACACTGCTTCACAATCAATGATCACTGTACTGCCTCTGTTCAAGACTAAAGTAACCAGCAGAGCAGTTGAAATGTTTGTTTGCTCAGAGGTGCTGCATCTCTCCTGGGTTTGAACATGAGAAAGTTTTGTTTCAGTACAGTGGGGATGCCAGTAAATACACTGTTCAGTCTCTCACCCCTCTTCCTGTCTGCAGCTCATACACCCCTAATACATAAGGGCTAAAGGTAGGCCAATTGCACATATTTGTTATTGGTCTGAGAGTCCCTTTAAAAATATTGGCTGTATGTCAGTAGGTATTTTTCTGTTCCATGATCTTCTTTTGGCTTTCAGATATGTATGCACGAAAGCCTAGTGCTATCATTGCTTGAGGGATGGTTTTATATGCCGGTTTTGTTGAGGAAGTTCTCAATACTTTAAGCATGTTATACATAGAAGGTACAGCCAATACTTTCTGTGCTTTGCATGAAGTGTTTCTTCAATATAAAAAAAACAAACCACCATGGGGTTTATTTTTAATTAAAAAACACAGATTTTTAAAAAATAACAGGTGAAGCTTGTCTGAAACAGATACAAATGGACATTTTTCCCCAAACATAAGAAATATTTCTTTAGAGGAGGTTGGTGTTGAATTTACCATTTTCCCTTCACTTGGTGGTGCTGGCTGTTTTCATTTCCTGACACCAAAATTCATTGTATTTAATAACCAACTTCCTATTGCATTAGCAAATTTCCATCTGGTTGGAAAGGTACCTGATTGCATTACTATTTGTCTTCACAGCTATGATGCAAACTGTAATTTGCTTATAGCCTCATAAATATGGCTAATGCAATGATATACACACCATATCACCACAAAAAGGCTTTGCTTTGTGCGGCATTCATCTACATTTGTAGAAACAAGCAATGTGGATAGAGAAGGGAGGAAAACAGGAAAAAAAACCTGTCCTGTAAAATACATGTTGCCCTCAAACTTTACCAATACTTCATATGGAAAA